ACACTCACAACTGACTCCACTGTCATTAACTCCTGTAGCCACCAGTCCCTTCACACTCACAACTGACTCCCCTGTCATTACCTCCCGTGGCCACCAGTCCCTTCACACTCACAACTGACTCCCCTGTCATTACCTCCTGTGGCCACCAGTCCCTTCACACTCACAACTGACTCTCCTGTCATTACCTCCCATGGCCACCAGTCCCTTCGCACTCAAAACTGATACCCCTGTCATTACCTCCCGTAGCCACCAGTCCCTTCACACTCACAGCTGACTCCCCTGTCATTACCCCCCGTGGCCACCAGTCCCTTCACATTCACAACTGATACCCCTGTCATTACCTCCCGTGGCCACTAGTCCCCTCACACGGCATGCAGGCTAATTTGTGATTACACATACATACCGTGTCAACCCATGCGGTGTACCTGTACTATTGTACAGGGAAATTGATTTTTCAGATCCATACGGCGTACAGCCGTTTCAATACAGGCAAAAAAAGTCTCTGTTTGTATCTCTCCCTTGTGATGGGACTTTGTAGGATGAACGTTGAGATTCATAAGGGGCACGGGGAGACCAATACAGTCCGAATTGGTCTGTGCTAAGGTAGGCAGCACTGATAATGGGTTGTTGACAGGTGTGGAGAGATGGGGGACGACTCTGAGGAGACAGGAGGAAGAACCGCAGACGAGCGGGAAGGCAGCACCAGCAGCAGCAGCGAGCCAGGGCGGCGATGCAAAGCCGGCGCAACGGACACTTGCCCAAGCTCTGCAGTCCTCTTTATATCGAGATGTTATCGGCCAATTAATGACGAGTGTTTATATGTAGGAGGGAGCCGGAAAACCTACGCGTGCGAGGGTGAAACACTCTATCCCGTACACGGTCGGTACAGGTGGAGTCCGCATTTGCTGCGCCGCCTTCTCCTGGCGTGCTCAGAGTATGTGGCAGCACCTCGACGTCCACTGGAAGGGAGTTTCACAGCACGTGTGTGTGTGTGATCCACCAAACCTCTGTTGCTGCCTCCAAACAGTGCTGCACTACTGGCAACCCACATGCAGCAGCGTAGCCACCACCACCACCAGGCTACAGAGTCGGGGTGGTCACACACAAGTCACGTGATTTACGGGACAATTGAGCTGGTCCAGATAGACGGTACATATTTTGCCGCATCATTGTTCAGCCTGGACCAGTGCTTTGGTGGCAAGATCTGAATTACCTCGCTTGGTATCCATGAGTCTTTGGGTTCGATCCCGACGTCTGCATATTTGGAGTTTGGATTCTCGTGGTCGCGTGGATTTTTTCTCCGGTTTTTCCCTCCACATTGAGAAACGTGCGTTTAGAGTATTTGGCTGCTATAAATGTCCACATGATAAGCCACTTCGTTGAGCTATCATTTGTGGCCAGGTCGCTTCTGAAAGAAAGCTGTATAGCTCAGTAGCCCTTACCCGGTAAAACAAACATACTTTTTTTTTAGAAACAAAACTGAGTCAATCCATACAGTCTATGAGCCCTGGTGCAGTTGCACCGCCTGCACCCTCAATGTAGTATCGCCACTGACCTGGAACATTGCTTTCGGGTTGCGTGTTTTTGCTTTCTCAAGGCAGGCTAGACTGGTTTCGATGCGTCAGTGGTCATCTGTAGTCAGGCACTTGACATACCATGAATGCGCAATTGTCGAAGAGCCGTCGTGAATCAAGAGTCGAAGAATGAACGCAAATCACTCGAAGTATGCCGACGTTGTTTCGCAATGCGTGCGCGACTCACTCGGTTCTCTTTGCTCGGGCTAACACCGCTGCGGAATTTCCATGGGTCCAGAGGTGGCTTAGCTTGAACATCTCACGGCGACTGTGTCAAGGCCTTGGTTACAAGTGACACTTTGTAACGCCTCTGAAGTTTACGACCACCCGTCACGCCATGTGAACCACAGCAAGGGCCCATAAATAAGCAGACAATATGCCTCCCCTCCCTGTTATCTGTCTCTCCGCATATAAAAAAAAAACATATAAGTACATTACATCCCATCGGCCAGCAGACGGCCCTTTTGGGAGATAAAAAAAACACTCTGGACCGGTTTCGACATCCGATGGCTCATCAGCAGGGTTTGGGTTTCCAAAAATCTCACGCTAGTGAACTGCCACGTGTTTGCAATGTCACGGCGTTGCTTATATTCTCCACAGTGGCGCTAATTATTGTTTTAACAAATCATTTTTCGGCGAACTTGGACCCATTTTGATACGGAGGGGTTCATTTCCAATAAAGGTCTGGCAAAACAACTTAACGCATTCGTCAATAACAGCGCCGTATTAAAGGGACGATACATAAATTGTCGTTCTGGATTTATGTTCGATGAAGATTGACGAAAGGTGGCCTATTATATATTTTCATTTTAAGGCACCGCTGCCAATGCAGAAGCATTACCACCAAATGATTTGTATATCTGCCAGCGAAAAGTCCACACGACCACGTCCAAATATACAGCAGGCGTCAGGGTCGGGATCGAATCCACGACCTCCTGTGGAGCCAGGCGAGGAAGATACCATCTCCTAGCCACCGGGGCACCCTCAACGTACACACACACAACTATAGAGACACACACGCACGCACACGCACAACAACCGCCATTGGCCACTAAGTGGCGGTGACGTCACCACGACGCTTGTGCCAGGCCATGTGCACCTTGAGGCCACGTGAAGTGTCGAACGCCCGCTGGCAGGCATTCACGGGGCAGACCCAGGTGCCACGGGTCGACTGACTGAGATGACTGGCTGATGCACCACCTGTGCCCCCTACTGTGCCAAACTGCTGTGCTTTAGCCACCCGGCGCTCCGCTCGTTGTTGTGAGCGTCGCTCCTCCGCCCTCCGTTGTTGTTGGAGGGCGACTGCCTCCAACTGCCCAGTAGCGTCCTTGACGAGCCTCCTCCACAGAGGCCGATCTTGACACCGCTGATACCAGTCATCGGCAAGTCCACTCAGCTCCACGTCCTCCTGTACCACGTCACTCCATCTCTTCTCTAGCCCGTGCCGCGCCCGTTTAGCCCCCTCGATCCGGCCGAACAAAAGATGTTTAGGTATGCGGTGGCTGGGCATGCGGGCTACATGACCCAGCCAACGCTGCCTTGCCTGCCGGAGCTCACCGATGGGACCTTGCCCAGATCTTTCAAGGATTTGTGAGCTCCTCACACAATCCAGCCTGGTTAAACCCAGGATGAATCGTAGGCAGACCAGCCTAAATGTTTCCAACCGGCGAAGAAGATACACACACGCACACACACACACAAAACACTGAGCTCTCGAGGGGAAGTGGCCGTCATCACGTGACGTCAATGTCAACAAAGCCTCACCACGAGCAGCACATTCTGTTCCTGCTGCGAGTGCACGCTCGGGTGGCAGGCGGGGCGGGGGACTGGGTTTGTGAAATCATTTGTCCGATCTGAATTCCGCTTTGCGCCCATGAGTCAAGCTGGAGTTTCCAGAACGTCGTTAGGATTGAGAGAGGCGAATTGGGGGGGAGGGAGTGGTTGTTTGGTTGGTGGGTGGAGTTTGTAAATTCCCACCCGAAACTCCCGCCCCCAGCTGACCATATTGTGTAAAAATAACTTCCAAGGGGGCAATTTCAACTCCCGGGGTTGGTGACATCCGACTCGGTTCCGTGCGATATTTTTTTTTACGAGGGGAATTCATCATCACCATCGTCGTCATTTCTCGCCACTCAGTAAATACACTGCGAGGAGAACCCCAAAAAAGCCCCTTCATCTCCCCATGATTCTGCACACGCGATCCGATTTGCATTGAACCTCATCGTCCTGCTACTCCTGCGCAAATTGATAATGAATAGACCACGTGCAGACTGAGAATTTTGACCGGCTGTTTGGTCCGCTTTACATAATTCTCTAAAACGTAAAACTTTAAAAAATGTGTTCAATGAATATACAAATGAAAAAAAAACATGTTAGCTTTCAATTAAATGGGTGGAGAGTCTCAAGACATCTGGACCACCATGTCGAGATGAAAAGATGGGCGAGCCCATGGCCGCGCAACGGAGGCAGCCAAGGGTTGGTGGATCACACGAATGTTGTGAAACTCCCTTCATCCTTGAGCGTCGAGGTTCCATAACCTTGGCTCGCCAGGAGAATGCAGTAACAGCAAGCGTGGATGACATGTGCCACCTGTATGGGATCGAGCGTTTCACCCTCGCACGTGTGGGTTTCCTCCCCAAATGTAAAAAAAAAACCGAATTGGCCTTTAACACCTCTATATGTAGAGGACCGCAGAGCTTGGGAGGAGGCGGATTTGGCGACTGATCATCACGCGACTGCTGCTACCTTCCCGTTCGTCTGCGGTTCTTCCTCCTCCTCGAGCCTCCAGAGCGGTCCTCTCTCCCGCCCTCTTCGATGAGCGAACGCCGAGCGTGGTATTACGAGTTGAAACTATTTGACGACGCGGCGAAGGTGCTCGCGACACGAGCTTTGCTTACCTCCCGCGTAGCCACCGTGAGAAACCGTGCCACGAGAAATGCACCACCGACCTAAAGCTAAACTATTTTTTTTTTCATTCCACCAGGTAAGGCCCACCGGGCTATATATCTCCTTTTCAGAAGCAAACTGGCTATAACACATGATAGGTCAACGAAGTGGCTTATCACGTGGAAATGTACAGCAGCCAAATACACTAAAATGCGTGACGGCGATTATAAATGTGAAGGGAAATACCGGAGGACCCGGAGAAAAATCAACGTGACCACAGTGAGAGAGAGAGACGCAAACTCCAAATAAACCACAGGCATCGGGGTCGTGACCAAACCCACGATCTCCTGCATACCAGGCGAGACAGTTAACATCACGCCATCACGGCCTACCTGCCCGCACATGTCACAGGGCATTTTGTTTTTGCGGGCGAGCTTTGCGCGTCGCGGAATTCCATCGTCAAGAAAATTTCGGCACTGAAACGGACGGCAATAACCATGACTGTGACGAAAAGTACAAAATTAAATGCACCACGATAACGACTTTCTTGCCAACAGCAATCGTTTAATTCGGATTTACAGTCCCCGTTATAGCTAAGGAATTAAATTACTATGCAAAACAGTTGTACGTAAACAAACTAAATTGACAGAAATTGCAACCCGCGTTTGCATATTACTCAAGTGTTGCAAACGGTTGTTTAAAAACAAACAAAATATACATACGTATGAACAAATAAAATGTGCAATATTTTGCAATGGTTCGTTGCTGCAATTCAAACCCAGGTGATGAAAACGTAGTCCTCCCGAAGCTCACAAGATGCCACTTTGTCTTTGGGGCGTGCTGCAGCTAAGGTGTTTAAATCACGGGCATGTAAAGACCCATCCCTCTGCGCTTGGCGTCCCGATGGATGAATCGTCACCTTTGTCAGGGTCAATTGCTACTCAAGGATCCATCAGTTTAACACGTGGGCCTTCGCGACCAATATTATTCATAATAAAGGTTTTTTAGTTAGATCGCGTTATTTATAAATGTGTTGTAACCCTCCACCACCCGACACGGCCAATCAGAAAAAAAAAGTGTCACGTTGACAAAAGACAAAATAGTTCACTACTTTAGCCCACCGGTGTGTTGAAGAGTGAATCCACAACATTTACAGTTTGAGTAGTACGACGTTTCGCTGGTAATTACATCCAGCATCATCGGGCAATTCGCCAGAATGGTAAAGCCCTCTCCACTTGCTCTCGGTCTTAAATAGAGCAGCAGGGTGACGTCATCATTTTTGGCAAAAACTCCCAGATTGGGCTTGTGTAAAGATCGGGCTTTGCGATGTTTTGCTCTTCACATTGGCTGCTGCTGCTGCTGCACCAGCAATGCCCTCTCCGTTTTGTTTGTGTGCTTAGTTTGTGGCATAAGCAGCGCGTGCGAATGACGAATCGCCTGCCCGGTCCCAGATGACGAAATCACGGCGAGAGATGACAAACAATTGGGAGGCCAGGTTCGGGGGGTTGGGGTTGTGAGGTTTGAAGGTTGTGAGGTTTGGGGTGTAACATTTGCTATTAAATTAACGGCCTCTTTAGATGCATTCTATTCGGGTGCCACTCAAACAAATGTCAGCTTGTTATTTTCAAGGTCACGCTTCCTGGGGTTGTATTCATTTTCTGTTAGTTTTTGGGAGAACCCCTCGATATTTACCGGGGGGAAGTTCTACCCAGTTGAGACACGGCTCACAGGCAATAACACACACACAGCCACAGTGTAATAGAGGCAGAGACGCAGAGAGGAATGAAACCTGAGCAACCCCCCCCCCACCCGTAAGTTATGGACAGAGTGGAGTGAGATTCCCAGCTGGAGACATTTACAGCAAAAGGAAATACAGTAAAACCTTGGATTGTGAGTAACTTGGCTTGCGAGTGTTTTGCAAGACGAGCAAAATTTTTAAACAAATATTAATTTGATAAACGAGCGCGGTCTTGCAATACGAGTAGTGTACGTATACACGCTTTGTTTGCCGAGCGTCATGTGAGCACAACTGATGTACGAGTGCTTTGGATTACAAACATGTTTCCGGAACGAATTATGCTCGCAATCCAAGGTTTTACTGTAATTTGATGAGCGATCTCACAAAACTGACTTCACTTCTCCATATGCATAGTGATTGGCCTCCCTGAATGTATTTTCACATATATATGCACTGAACACCACTGAAACATGACCCCCCCCCCTGCCATGTATATTATGGTCCCAAATGAAAACAGCACCAAATCAGAAACAAAACCCACCACCCCCTCGCACGCACGTATTTATTCCCAGCACTCCGTTCATTGGGTTGGCCAAATATCCAACTCAAGGACCACAGAGCTTGGGCATTTATTTGCACAGGTTTAGGCTGCCTTTCCTCCCCTGCCCCCCCCCCCTCCCCCCCAAAGCATCATCTGTGGTTCCTCTGGCAGAAATCCGACAGTATTTTAAGATGCAATTTGTATGCGTGACCTTGTGTCAAAAAATTAAACTACAACTCAAAGTAGTGTGGGGTGGCACAGCACTAAATGTCTCCTCTGCCACGTATGGTTCCTGACCTCCATGGCAAAACCACTGCTACACGTGCCACAAAAACTGGGGCTCATTTGAATGATCTGAGAGTGATGTAGAGTCACGACCCAGATACGATTCCACGAGGCGGTGCGCTCCGTACCACCGTGCCCACCTCCGGCACAAATGGCAGCACAGCGGATTTAATCGCGAGGACTGTCCGGTGAATAGATCGCCACAAATTGTTGCGCCACCTTGAGTGAAGCGTAGACACTTCAATGGCAAACATTCTACCGCGGCGTGGGTGTTCGCGGTCGTGCCGTTCCAGCTCGTGGACGTCATCGGCACGACCCGAAAGCAACAGCTGTTTAATTGACGCGCCCTATTTATTCTCGTGAAACCAGCCGCTTACACCTAACGCCGTCACTGTGGTCGTTCCGTCCGGATCGATCTCACCGCTGCGCCGCCTCATCTCGGCTCCGACGCCTTCCCCGCCACAACCGCCACCGCCGCTACGGGGACAGCCCAATCCGGCAGAGGGGCTCGGCACGGTGACCGGGCCAATCCGTCCTCTCGCCGCCGTCAACCATGCTGTGAATCTCAGGGTCGTGCGCCCGCCCGCGTATCACTGTCCGTACAGCTGGATCATCGCGTGGCACTCGTTACAGTAGCCGTTGCAGCCGGCGTTGCCGTAGTGCTCGCAGCCGGGAGCCCGGCACTTGTTCCGGCGCGCGACCACCGGCTCGCGCTCAGCGGGACGATCCGCCGCCCCGGAAGTCTGCCTCCGCTGCAGCCGCTGCGGGTGGGTGTGCCGAAGCTGTTCGCTTCTGCAGCGGCAGGCGGCGCACAGGGTGCCACCCGTGGTTGCGTCGTCCGCGCAGGATTCTGTGCGGCACTTGGGAGCGGCTGCCGGAGCCTGCGGGTGAAGACAGCAAGGTTTTTTGGGGAAAATTAAAGATTTTGCCAAGTTGGTGCCGGCGGAGATTTTGAGGGTATGGGTTTCTGTGCGAGTCTATGTGTCTCTGTGCGAAGGATATGGGTCTTTGTGTGAGTCTATGGGTGTCTGTGTGAGTCTATGGGTCTTTGTGCGAGTCTATGTGTCTCTGTGTGAGTCTATGTGTCTCTGTGCGAGGATATGTGTTTCTGTGTGAGTCTATGGGTTTCTGTGCGAGTCTATGGGTCTTTGTGTGAGTCTATGTGTCTCTGTGCGAGGATATGGGTTTCTGTGTGAGTCTATGGGTTTCTGTGCGAGTCTATGGGTCTTTGTGTGAGTCTATGTGTCTCTGTGTGAGTCTATGTGTCTCTGTGCGAGGATATGGGTTTCTGTGTGAGTCTATGTGTTTCTGTGCGAGTCTATGGGTCTCTGTGTGAGTCTATGTGTCTCTGTGCGAGGATATGGGTCTCTGTGTGAGTCTATGTGTCTCTGTGTGAGTCTATGGATTTTTGTGTGAGTCTATGTGTCTCTGTGCGAGGATATGGGTTTCTGTGTGAGTCTATGGGTTTCTGTGTGTGTCTATGGGTCTCTCTGTGTGTGTCTATAGTTCTGTGTGTGTCTATGTGTCTCTGTGTGAGTCTATGTGTCTCTGTGCGAGGATATGGGTTTCTGTGTGAGTCTATGTGTTTCTGTGCGAGTCTATGGGTCTCTGTGTGAGTCTATGTGTCTCTGTGCGAGGGTATGGGTCTCTGTGTGAGTCTATGTGTCTCTGTGTGAGTCTATGGGTCTTTGTGTGAGTCTATGTGTCTCTGTGCGAGGATATGGGTTTCTGTGTGAGTCTATGGGTTTCTGTGTGTGTCTATGGGTCTCTCTGTGTGTGTCTATAGTTCTGTGTGTCTATGGGTATCTACATCTCTGCAGCCCTTATAATTAAACCTTTGTTGTCCAGTTCTCAACATGTGCCCAATCACAGGGGGCGCCTCGACATTTACTGCATGGGAGGCACACTATGAATAATCAATGAGAATGACAATGATGGTCTGAGTCTAGCCTCGAAAATGTTGGTAAATTATTATTACTACAGTTGAACACGTAGGCTTTCACGACCAATGTTATCCATAATAATCGCGTAAATGTTTCGTTAACGCAGGCAATTAATCAGGCAATTATAGCACATCGCCTGATGAAGCTGGTTGTAAAATCTCCAGCGAAATGTCACAGTACTCAAATTGTAAATGTGGGTTCACTCTCCAACACATCGGGTGTGCTAAAGTAGTCACTAATTTGCGCGTTCTGTTTACGTGACAAACCTTGCTAATTTGGCCGTGTCGGGTGGTGGCGGGGGTTAAACGACCCACGCGATCTAACCCAAAACAACAACAAAATCCCCAAACTTTTTTTGCGGATATTATCACTACGGATATTATCGCTACTGAAAACAAACAAGACTCACCGCTCTGAGCTCCAGGGCTGGCACCCACTCTTCGCGTTCGGAAGCCCTGTTCAGGTAGCAATCGGTGCAGCAGCCGTCCAGCCTGGGTTTGCCGAGTTGCCGGCAGGCGAGCGTGACGCACTGAACCCGGCACCCCTCTTGCCTCGCAGGCCCTGCGGCGGGGGGCCCTCTGGGAGGCTCGGCGTTCCGGCCGCCTGGCTGCGTCTCGTCCGCCGCTGTTGGTGAAAGAAGAAGAGTTGAGAGAGAAATATTTTTTTTAAAAGGTCAAGCGACCGTCAGGACGTGCGATGGCTGTGTGTGTGTGTGTGTGGCGCTAAGTGGAGAGTGCGAGTGAGTGGAGTTGGCAGCGATCGTCCGGCCAGTGCTGGATTATCGTAGTAGCACAAGTAGCTACAAATGCTACGGGCCCCGCACTTTCAAGGGCCCCACGCGAAATGCTTTCAAGCTATCAATTCCGGTTCAGTAATTCTGCACTTGCTCTATTACTGTAGTACTATACTGCCTTCAACTTTTATCAACGACTGGGTGTTTAAGGTTAGCGATTTGTCGTATTATCTGGCTGTATAGCAAACGAAAAAATTACAATTACTTTACTATGCAAGTTAAGAATGTTTTTTTTTATTTAGGGCCCCTTAATAACATATGCTACAGGCCCCGCACTAGCTTAATCCGGCACTGCGTCTGGCCCGAGAGTCGTACGTGCTAATCGGAGGTGTGGGGGGAAGAGCAACAAGCTAAACAAAGAAGCGGATCTAAAAGCGTGCGATACAGTGTGCGGAGTCCATGGGTCTCTGTGTGATGTGTCTGTGGGTTTCAGTGTGAGGCCATAGGTCTCCAGATATGAATGTAAGTTGAACTTCTTTCGCACCGTACGTAGCCAACCGTGACAATCAGAGGTGCGGCGGGGGGTGTGGACAGGACAACAAACTAAACACAAAAAGCAGTTATAAAAAAATTAGTTTAAAATCTAGATAATTTAAATGTCCATAGCTCAAGTGGCTTCCTAATATCGGAAGAGCCTGCCAGACGGCCAGAGAAGTGCATCTGAAAGCCTGCGATGAAGTGAGTTTACGTCGGCCACATGGGAAACGGAAATCCAGAACCTGGGGGAGAATTATCGGTCGAAGGTTCCGGTGTTCCCCCTGCTCAAAACGCGGTGCTCGTATCCATCGGAGGCCTTGAGCCAGTGGTGGAAATTCCACAGTTGTATGGAGGGGGCCAGTCTCTCCATGGGGATAAGGAATACCCATTACTTCACAATTAACATCTCACAATACCGGAAAAGGGAAGAGGCTGTATTGCAACGCGACTGACAATAGCCGGAGTGTTAACGTCCTGGGAAAACCTAAAGAGATTTCCCGAGATGGAGCGGTCCTGCGAAAACCAGGACGGGTGGCAACCCAACCCCGAGCTCACCTCTATTCTCCAAGTGCTGCAGGAAGCAGATGGTGCAGAAGAACTCCTTCGTCGCCGTCCCGAAGAAATCGCAGCCGGGAGTCTTGCACTTCTCGCTTCTGGGCGCTTCCATCGTCGCGGCGACCACGGCCGCCGCCCCCCCAGCCGATCCGCGCGCCGGCTCGGCGGCCCGGCGGCCTCCCTCCTCGCGGCGGATCGTCGGCGCCAGCGACGGCTTGTCGACGCACGCCTGGCACAGCGCGATGCTGCCCAGCGCCGCCCCCTCCCCGCAGCCGCTGCAGCGGTCGTGCGCGTCGTCCTCGCGCCGGCGCTCCGCGGCGTGGCCGCCGGCGCCGGCGCCGGTCAGAAGCTCGGCGGCGCCGGCGCCGCCGCCGCCGCCGCCGACGTCTACGCTGGCCGAGCGGCGTCCCTGCCGGAGGTGGAAACAGTTCTGGCACAAGCCCGAGAGCGTCTGGTCGCCTGTGAAGGGGCACGTGGGCGAGGAGCACTTCATACCGCTCGGTTCCGCGAGGAGCGCCGGAACTTCCGGCGCCGACGGCAAGACGCCGGTCGGCGACGGCGGAGGCGGCGCAGCGGCACCCCGGACTTCCGCGTCGCGAGCTTCCGCCGCTTCTGGGGCTTCCAAATGCGGAGTCGTTGCGAGCGCCCTCCTTCCCACCGCGTCGCCGAAGCCGCCGGTGCCGCCGACAACACCGGCGCTGCCGGCGCGGAGCTTTTTGATGCACTCGTGGCAGAAGGCGCCCGTGTGAACGGAGCGCATGTAGCCGCAGCCCGGCGTGCTGCACGCCTCGTTGGTGGCCGAGTACATCGCGTTGGCGGCATCGTCCGCGCGCCGGGCCACCGGAGCTCGGAGGGCAGAGGTTGGCGCCCGGACCGTGCTGGCGCGGAATTTTCGTTCCACCACCTCTCGGTAGTCGCTCACCAGATCCAGGTCGTCGCCCGTATTCACAGGTGGCAACCTGGGGGATGCCGCTGGGGTTAGAATACATTCGTGCGACGTTCCGATATCGTAACGTCGGCTTTTACTCGTCAGCTGGCGTACGGGCGAGCGGCCCAGCGCGTGCAACTCCTCATCGTTAACAAAGCGCGGTAAAAATCACCTTGCAATGAGGATGGGGGCGGAGGCTCTCTGGACTGGCAGCGCCACCTCCTGAGTGTCCATGTACTCCTGCAGCAGCAACGTCTTGTGCTGCTCCTCCTCGGGCAGCAGAAACTGCAGGGGGAGGGTGGCACGGTGCCTGTCCACCAGCGGGAACGCGTGCTGTTTGAGCTGCTCGGCTGTGACAAAAATAAAAGCAACGCGGGTGAAGACGGGCGGTCACGGAAGTCGCAACCAAATACTGCGACCGTAATTAGTTCTCTCGGGCTAAGGCTGCGTGGGTGCAATGTCTCTCCAGCACCCGACGCAAATGTCACCCGGTACGAAGGAGATAGCACTCTGGCCTTTAAAAGAACGAGTACATAACCGGTGACGTTTTGGGGCAATTGCCCTGCTCCAGAGCATGTAGAGATGCCAGTCGAGGTAAGAGTGGATTCATCGCCAGATTATTTGTCTGCGTTAATGTAGTTTAAGTTTGGAATGGAGTGAACAGTCCAATTGACTCCGGATTACGCGGCGCCAAATGCGATTTAATCAACGCCTAGATAGCAGACACCGAATGCGACTGTGGGATTAGGCCTCTGAGGTCGGACAATTTAGAAACTATGAGATCCGGGCAGAACGTTCGGGCACATCAACGAGCATGGGGCTGCGATGACCCCTTGAACTTTGGCCTCACCAGCTGGGCCGTCCTGCATGCAGACGAGGGGGGCGAAGTGTCCGTTGTGGAAGCCCAGCACGAGCGGGTAGCGGTAGCATGCGCTCGCAGGCCAGTTGAGGGGCAGGTAGATCCCGGATATGTTTAGAGGCGCCAGGGTGGACCCGCTGGCGAGACTCCTCAGCACGACATCTGTGCGTGCGTGCGTGCGTGCGGGAGAACAAGAATCAGGGCGTGAGTTCGCATGGAAAACGTGCGACGCGCTTACGACAGTCGAACGACAGTGACGAGCGTACACGCTCATCGAAGAGCCCGTGACCACATCACCCGGATCCTGTTGGACCTCGGCAGCAAAGCAAAGCCGAGCCAGGAGGGTTGCGTGGATAATTTACTTATGAAATAACGGAAGGGCTATGTTGTCAGCAGGGGGCGGTGCAGCAAAATATATTTGTTGTATACTGTTGGACTTTGATGCTCTAACATATATGTCCCCCCTGGGCCTTCAACTCGCACTGACCAGCGCGGTTGTGGTCCACTAACCCTCGACGACCTGCGTGGCCCATGTGGAGAGGCTATCACCCAACAGCGGACTGACAAAAAGGGTGTCGTGCTATGGCAGCGACTATCGAGACCCCGTGTGTGTGTGTGTGTACCTGAGATAATGACGATGGGTCGACGCAGCACATTGGCCAGGATGAAGATGTGAATCTCCTCCAGTGACTGAAAGCGGAAGCCGTCGCGTGACGAGTGTTCCGTAGGCCTAGACATCTCCACCACCTTGCTCCACTCCTCCTCCCAGTCCTGTGGAACGAAAGTTGGTCAACGTTTGCGTCAGTAAGCGCCCGTTTGCGGCAACGCGGTCGCTGTACCAAACAGGGTTGTTGGATCCATCAGGTAACCAAGAATAAGAGTTGTGTCCATGTACTCTAAGCTGTACTTATCAAAAGCCAATTGGCTCAGGTAGAGCGAGCTGCATTTCTTTCCATGTTGGATGAACGATATTGCTGACTTGCTGTCGGTGAAGGAACGTGTAATTTAACGCTGGGGCTTATCCGATAGACTCGCCTAAAATGCACTTGATGTTACAAAAATTAGTTTGCAGCACAGATGGATGCATAACGGGAGGACATGAGTTTCACTGGACGAATTTTGAGACTGGACAAAATAACCACGAGAGATAGGGTTGCTGTCCATGGTAATATCCGCGAGTCTTCCCATGAAAAAAAAAAATCCTACGTAATAATTCACCACTCGAAGCACAAAGCGTTAATGTCCGTGGTCTTCCCGCTCTTTCCGGCATGATTAGATAGTCTTAACCTTCTCTCCAGGACATGCCCCCATTCGTTTGTTTGTTGCACCTCTCGAGGTGGCAACAAACCCCTAGCTACGTCCAAGGTGTTTAAAAAATAAGAAAGACGCTCGTCGTCGTCGTACCCGTGTGGAATATCGGAATCCGAGCTCCTCCGCTCCGTCGGCGGAGGCGCGGCTCCTCATCCAGCGGCGGCGGAAGTTCGCGGCGAGCCCCGGGTCGCACAGCGAGGAGTGCATGGCGGATCGCAGCGTGCACTCCGAGTCCGACACGGCCCACATGGCCAGCGACGCCGCATGCACCAAGCAGTTCCCGTCGCCTGTGGGGGCGCCGGCGCGCAGGACGGGGAAGCACTCCGTTAAACATTCCGTGCGTAATACTTACGATAATAATAATTATTATACAAACATTTAACTACATTTTAACTATGTATTATCTAACCTATAGCTCTTTTTCAGAGGTGACCTGGCTATCACAAATGATAGCTCAACGACGCGGTCGACCCTGAAATCTAGGATACGGCGAGGTGCCCTGATCCTGAATTATCCCAGTGTTTAAAGGAAACGATGTAGAATTTCATACAACCTTCAAAAGCAAACGTTTTAAGTCACAACGTTTGGCAATATCTGTGCGGCACTGCCGAGAAATAATTGGATTCCACACTCTGCGAATTAACCGCGCACCTTGAGAATTTGACATGAAACAATACCCTTAAGCCCAGATTAATAATCGAAAAACAGTTATACACTGCTATTCTTGGAAATGTTTAATATAAGTGGGTTAATCCGAAATCCACGCGATCCCCTCTACAGTACAGTAGTTGCATATATTTACAACAGTGGGCGGAGTTTGATTGATTTTGATTGGCGTGGCTCTGCTGTCCACTTATTGGGCCGAGTCTTCTGCGCGAGTGCAGGAGAGTGTTTTTGACACAGAGATCCGCGGAAAATGCTTATCTTTTTGGATTATCGGCAATTTTGAAAAATCCGCGGCCGTCCTCCCCGTCATTAGCGCGGATAATCGACAGTCTACTGTAATTCAAACGTACGTAATCCGATATATTGCCAGCAATATTTTAAAGAAAACGTCCCCCCTTAAAATAATTGTCATAATCATCTTCCCGATATAAGTTACAATGTACCATATATGAAATACAAATTTTGTAGGCAAACATTTGAAAGCTTTGCATTTTGCATGCATACACATGTAGAAACGCACATGCAACTACAGCACCACTTGCCTGACTACAAAAGTTAACGTAATATATTCATAATTAACAATGCTATACATAGGTTCACTGATTCATGTGTGCACACAGATAAACCTACTGATGCACATACATGCATTATAAATGCAGTATATATGCGTGCTCGGGATGTGTGCCCGATTGTCAGTTTAAATCCCAAAATAAATCGGGCCTGAGAATTCCAGATATTCCGAAAAATAAACGTATTTCTGGTTGATCGGGCAATGTGATGCCATTGTAAGTGACTTAGCTTTTTACCGAATTTCTAAAAATACGATTAGGCTCCAGTGTGAAAACTACAACCGCGCACTTGCAATGTACGTTGCAACTTCTTCCGCGCCGTACGTAGCCAACGGTTGTAACCGGCGGTGCGCGCAAGTAAGGACAACCCGGACTGAACACAAAAAAGTGAATGTGCTGCAGGACTCACCGGGAGTTTTCAGGGGGTAGAGACGCCTCGTCTGCGGGCACCAGTTGAGGAGCCTCCTCCTCTCCAGCTCCACCTGCATCTCCATCTCCAGCAGATGCCTCTCCAGTTGCCTCCTCAAGCCATCGCTGTACGTCCCCAAGCCGAACAGGGCCACCGAGCGGGTGTGCATGCCGCCAAAGCACGGTTCGCGACCCCCACGGAGGTCATCGGCCACGGCATCTCGGATCCTGGTGGCCCTCACCAGGTTGCAGCTGCTGAAGCTCTTGGGCAGGGAATTCTTCACGTCTGCCGCGACCTCCGCCACCGTCGCCGTCATCGCCGCAGCCACCTCGTCGCCGTCGTCTGCTGCTGGACGCAAGATGCAACGACGGGGACCGGAATCTAGAACTCCCATCTCTTGAAAGTGTGAATGTGACGGAGGGGTTTGTTTCCCGCTGCTGCTGCTGCTGTTGCAGTGGCTTCTGTCTGGCTGAAGAAAGTCCTCTAGTTGGCAGTCACTGAGATGACTGTTCACTCAGACGTAGCATTTAACTCGGGGGGGGTTCCCACTATACAAACGAAACGGGCAAAACCTCCTGCGTTGCCGGATTGACGTTGTCACAACTACCAATGAGCACCCAGGCAGTAGTGTGCGATATTAGTAAGGCGCTGCCATCGATGGTCACAAAGCTTATAACCAGAATCCCACCACCGCAGCGCAATCGTTCAAACTAACGCCCCCTCCCTTCACCGTAGCCGACCTTTTATATACAGGGCATGGAGAGCCGTTCAGCAAGCAAAAGTGGAAACTTCCCACAGCTCGCTCTATAATTATTTAAGTAGTCACCGTCGGCGAGAACAGACAAAATACCAGACCTTCGGCCGGGGGGGGGGGACTTTTAAAGGGTCTGGGAGGTGAGCCAAAGAGAGAAGCAGAAATAGAGAGAAAAAAACCACCACCCCGCCCAGATTAACACCAGCAGCGTTGACAAGACCGCGCTTTTAAAACTGTGGTGGTGGTGGTGGTGGAATTTCCCCGCCCTAGAGGGAGGGAGGGGAAGCGGGGTTGTTGTGGTTGTTGTGGTGGTGCGAGTCAAAGTTGACTCGGCTGGGTTTTTCCCATCCCAACTCGCAGCCATCGCGAAGGCAATGAGGAGCGGAGTGGGGGTGTGGGGGAGGGGGCGTCACAAGACATGTGGACCAGGATGTCGACTGTAACAGTCGAGTGTCTTTGTGTGCCGGGCTTTAGGGGCACTACGCTAATGCGGCGCTTGCACCAGAATGTACATAATGTCTACGCGGGGGATCTTTGTCTTTGTGTTGTCAGCAGCTGTCTTCGTAGGGGCACTTTGTCCGTGTATTTAAAAAGGAGACTTTGCCAAGCAAAGTCCACACACACACACGCCAAGCTGGCGAACAATAAAGCACCGTCAAAGCGAAGATAAGGAGGCGAGATATTGGCGGGGTGGGATTTTCTCTTCACGTTCTCTGTGCACGGTTAACAAAGAGCCTCGACGCCCTTGGTGCAATAAACAACAATGAGCGCGCGGCCTTGCAAAGGCTCGAGAGTTGTTTGTTGTTGTTGTTGAAGATCGTGGTTGTTGTTTCAATCTCAATGGAGCAGGAGCGGCGCAATATTGTTGCTCATGTTCCAAGAGCTTCGGCGACAAATCGACGGAGACGCAGTAAGTCCATGAAAAAGAGTAAAAACGGAGCCACACAGCTGATTGGGCCCTCCCTGGTGGCATGAATAGAACGTGAGGCTCAAGGGGGGAATTCCAAAGAGGAGTGAGAGCGAAGAGCCAGGGAGAAGTGGCCCTGTGGTGTTGGTGAGTTATTCATGTGTGGATGAATGTGTGGGTGAGTTGTGTCGTGATCTACAGTGTGTGGTGAGTGTGGGTGAGTTGTGTTGTGCCCTGTGGTGTTGGTGAGTTATTCATGTGTGTGGTGAGTGTGTGGGTGAGTTGTGTGGGCGAGTGTGTAGTTGTGAACTGCAGTGTGGTGAGTGGGTGAGTGTGTTGTTGTGACATGCAGTGTGGTGAGTGAGTGTGTGTGGGTGAGTTGTGTTGTGATCTACAGTGTGGTGAGTGTGTGGGTGAGTGTGTTGTGATCTACACTGTGGTGAGTGTGTGAGTTGTGTTGTGACCTGCAGTGGTGAGTAAGTGTGTTGGTGAGTGTGTTGCTGTTACATGCAGTGTGGGTGAGTGTGTGGTGTGTGGGTGAGTGTGTGGTGGGTGTGTGGGTGAGTGAGTTGGTGAGTGTGTTGGTGAGTGTGTTGTGACCTGCAGTGTGGTGAGTGTATGGTGAGTGTGTTGCTGTGACATGGAGGGTGGGTGAGTGTGTTGCTGTGACATGTAGTGTGGGTGTGTGGGTGAGTGTGTTGGTGAGTGTGTTGTTGTGACCTGCAAAATGGTGAGTGTGTGGGTGAGTTGTGTTGTGATCTACAGTGTGGGTGAGTGTGTTGGTGAGTGTGTAGGTGAGTGTGTTGGTGAGTGTGTTGCTGTGACATACAGTGTGGTGAGTGGGTGAGTGTGTTGTTGTGACCTGCAGTGTGGCGAGTGTGTGGTGAGTGTGGGTGAGTGTGTTGCTGTGACATGTAGTGTGGCTGAGTATGTGGTGAGTGAGTGAGTGGTGTGTTGCTATAACAAGCTGTGTTGATAGTGAACAGAGTGTACGCAACCGTACAGTCACTCTGTCTGCTAACAAGAGCTTAATAATCTTAACAGTCAAGGCTGACGCTCTGTTCACAGTGACACATCACGCATTATATAAGCGGACAATATTCCTCATCCCCTTATCTTTGTCTCCACGTGGTGTTTAAAAGGATTGTTTTTAAACAACCTAAAGTGTTTCCCTGCACTCTTATTCAACCAACGCGACCGATATGTACAGTGCGGTACTGTACTCCCATGCAAGGCGTGCGGCTGACGGGATGTGTTAAATTAACGTTTTATTTAGGGGGCACAAATTAAGGGTTTTATTTTGTCACGGTAACAGCCGTCGTCCCTCCTCCCCCAACTTAACCATTTAGAAACATACATTCCGTGTTCTATAATTATTAATCAACTGCGTGTACAGTACTCATCATTGAGCAAATAATCCCCAACTGGGGCAAGGAGGCTCTTGACCAGCCACAGGAATGTGGAATTTCCACGGTGTGGCTGGCTCGGCAGAGTCGCAGGAACACTGCCGCCACCGCAGACCAAAGAACGCCACGTCCACGAAACCAGTTTCGACCAAACCCGTCAACCCCTTTATCGGTGCCCTTTAAACCTCATTTACAGACTTACGTAAATATAATCCACCCTCAATCTCCTTCACCGACACAGCAGTGACCAGATTGGTGAAGTATGGCTCACAACCCACACACACATAAACCAAGGCGTGTAAAGAGGCTTTCTATCCAGCAGTGGATCGAGAATGGCTGTGCTTTGTACCGTGTATTTGCGATGTATATACTGTGTAGTACGTTCTTGATTTGAAGCTTTCGCGAACGCAGGAATCCATACGAAATAAAAAACATTAAAAGATATTATAATTTTGATGAATAATTATTTTTTAATTCTATTTCTCTACCTACGTGACTTTACCGAAAGAACCAAAGATTATATATACACACATTGCAGTACTTTAGTAAGTGTGATAACACTCGATCCAATGCGGTGCGTATTGTGTGTTTAGTGTTAAAAGCAGCCTTGTGATACAGTCTACATGCCGCGTACTTGTACATCGACACGCATTCATTACTGCCGACGTGAAACAATCGTACAAGTAGTAGTAAAAACCTCTTCATCTGCACGACACACACACACTGGTGTACAACTCACCAAAAGCAAGCTTTCGCGGACGAGGAAGTATATAACTTCACCACTTGCTCACTACGACGCAGGCGACAATCGTCCACAAGTCTCTCGATTTGCGTTTAGCTGCTGGCAACCACGAGGGGCAGTCGTACGTAGGTAACTTGTATTGATTTTTCAAACAGGAAGGATAAACCCGCACGCACCCACCAAAGCCACCAGTGGATAGAGAGGGCTTCGTTCTGCTGTGGTTTCGGCAAATGTGACGCCGTGAATTCAAGCAACGCCGTCGGCTGTGGCGACTGCTTCCCCGTGAATTTGACTGCCTCTGTCCCCAGACACTCATCAGAATACTGTATTTATTCATACAGGAGGAGGAATCTCATGGGCTAAGAAGCTATTTTTCTCCGCACAGATGTCCCGCAGACACCGACTGTGTTCAAACCGTCGCACTTCAAGTCAAACACTCGTCCACCCAACCACTCGCCCACCCAACCACTCGCCCACCCATCCACTCGTCCACCCAACCACTCGTCCACCCATGCACTCGCCCACCCAACCACTCGTCCACCCAACCACTCGCCCACCCAACCACTCGTCCACCCGTCCACTCGCCCACCCAACCACTCGCCCACCCATGCACTCGCCCACCCATCCACTCGCCCACCCAACCACTCGCGCACCCGTCCACTCGCGCACCCGTCCACTCGCCCACCCAACCACTCGCCCACCCAACCACTCGCCCACCCATCCACTCGCCCACCCATCCACTCGCCCACCGAACCACTCGCCCACCCAACCACTCGCCCACCCATCCACTCGCCCACCCATCCACTCGCCCACCCAACCACTCGCCCACCCATCCACTCGCCCACCCATCCACTCGCCCACCCATCCACTCGCCCACCCAACCACTCGCCCACCCATGCACTCGCCCACCCATCCACTCGCCCACCCAACCACTCGCCCACCCATCCACTCGCGCACCCGTCCACTCGCCCACCCAACCACTCGCCCACCCAACCACTCGCCCACCCGTCCACTCGCCCACCCGTCCACTCGCCCACCCAACCACTCGCCCACCCAACCACTCGCCCACCCATCCACTCGCCCACCCATCCACTCGCCCACCCAACCACTCGCCCACCCAACCACTCGCCCATCCATCCACTCGCCCACCCAACCACTCGCCCACCCAACCACTCGCCCACCCATCCACTCGCCCACCTAACCACTCGCCCACCCATGCACTCGCCCACCCATGCACTCGCCCACCCATCCACTCGCCCACCCATCCACTCGCCCACCCGTCCACTCGTCCACCCGTCCACTCGCCCACCCATGCACTCGCCCACCCAACCACTCGCCCACCCGTCCACTCGCCCACCCATCCACTCGCCCACCCAACCACTCGCCCACCCGTCCACTCGCCCACCCATCCACTCGCCCACCCAACCACTCGCCCACCCATCCACTCGCCCACCCATCCACTCGCCCACCCATCCACTCGCCCACCCATCCACTCGCCCACCCAACCACTCGCCCATCCACTCGCCCACCCAACCACTCGCCCACCCATGCACTCGCCCACCCATCCACTCGCCCACCCATCCACTCGCCCACCCAACCACTCACCCACCCATCCACTCGCCCACCCAACCACTCGCCCACCCATCCACTCGCCCACCCAACCACTCGCCCACCCATCCACTCGTCCACCCAACCACTCGCGCACCCGTCCACTCGCCCACCCATCCACTCGCCCACCCAACCACTCGCCCACCCATCCACTCGCCCACCCAACCACTCGCCCACCCAACCACTCGCCCACCCATGCACTCGCCCACCCATCCACTCGCGCACCCCTCCACTCGCCCACCCATCCACTCGCCCACCCAACCACTCGCCCACCCATCCACTCGCCCACCCAACCACTCGCCCACCCAACCACTCGCCCACCCAACCACTCGCCCACCCATGCACTCGCCCACCCATCCACTAGCCCACCCAACCACTCGCCCACCCGTCCACTCGCCCACCCGTCCACTCGCCCACCCAACCACTCGCCCACCCATCCACTCGCCCACCCATCCACTCGCCCACCCGACCACTCGCCCACCCGACCACTCGCCCACCCATCCACTCGCCCACCCATCCACTCGCCCACCCAACCACTCGCCCACCCATCCACTCGCCCACCCATCCACTCGCCCACCCATCCACTCGCCCACCCATCCACTCGCCCACCCAACCACTCGCCCACCCAACCACTCGCCCACCCAACCACTCGCCCACCCAACCACTCGCCCACCCATCCACTCGCCCACCCATCCACTCGCCCACCCAACCACTCGCCCACCCAACCACTCGCCCACCCACCCATCCACTCGCCCACCCAACCACTCGCCCACCCATCCACTCGTCCACCCAACCACTCGCCCACCCATCCACTCGCCCACCCAACCACTCGCCCACCCGTCCACTCGCCCACCCAACCGGACTCTTGATACTAATAATAATCATCATTAATCTTGCTAATTTCAAGAGACTTCGTTAACTCTTTTACAACTTTTATGGTGCTGTTTGTAACTGGCCGTTTGACGTTTTACCACTTTGTGCCTTTGCTCAGCAATTGTTTAAACAAAATACCACGAAAAACTCACCTCCATACACACACCCAGTGGCAGTATTTGCACATGGTGTAAACTGAAATTTTCACGAGGTGTTCACATTTCTGAGATTGTTTTTAAGGTTGTCTGCCTGCCCCCGTACCTGTCAGGTCCACGGGATGGATGTTTAATAAAGTGCCACCGGCATTTGTAGTGTGAGGCAAATGTTGGTGTTTCTTTAAACACAAATACCGGGTTGGTCTAATTAGTTATTGCCACATCTCAGTATTTTATTGCATAAAATGGCACGACCTATAGCACGACACACACACACGTGTGTTACAAAGGTAAATAGATCTGAGATGTTGCCTCTTAAATATTTTGTTTCATTTTAAGGCCACAGTGTTATTGACGAATGTGTTGAGTTTGTATTATGATTAAAATATAGTATTCTTAGCTCTTTCGGTAAAGTCACGTTGAAGGGAAACAATAAAATAACATATATAAAACAATAAAAATTCTTACGACGTTTCGACCATAACACAAACGGTCGTCATCAGGTGTGTTGGTTTGCATTAATTTATTTATATTTAAACGGTGTATTTATGTATTTTAAAAAAACGTCAGCGCCACGCGCAGCGATTTGGCAGTTTATTTAGAAGGACTAGTCCATCTATGTTTTTCGTCTCCCCCCTCCTCTTTTCAGAACATAGATGGACTAGTCCTTCTAAATAAACTGGCAAATCGCTGCGCGTTGCGCTGACGTTTTTTAAATAAATAAATACACCGTTTAAAAATAAATAAATTAATGCAAACCAACACGCCTGATGACGACCGTTTGTGTTATTGTCGAAACGTCGTGAGAATTTTTATTGTTTTATATATATTTTGTTTCCCTTCAACGTGACTTTTACCGAAAGAGCTAAGAATATGAATTACTGCAGTCACGAAAGCTTTAAATCAAAAAATAAAATATAGTACATTAATACTCTTAGTGAGTCTGTGGTATTACTCTGCACAGCACGGACTGTACAAAACACAATCACAATACAGCGCCCTGAGAACGATTGTATAAGGGGGCTTTATACATTTAAATTATTACAAGTACATTCGGCTCAGCAGTTAATTTGCCTAAGTTCCAGCTCTGAGAATCTCTCATTATTATTATCGTTATATTGCTTCTCTGAGACGGATGTTTAGGTCTTAATTGTACGTTTTTGCCAATTTCACATAATAAATAAATGGAAAACACAAAAAAACATACACAACACATATAAAGCAGAATTTCATGCAAGAATATGCAAACAAAAATTACTATTTAAAATAACAATTTAATGATTATTCGGCCTGTTTAAAAAAATCCCGCACGCTCTACTCCTCTGAAGCTTCCAGATAATCGATGATCTGCTGCACATAAAGAGGAAGGAGGCGTCACCTAAAGAGATCACCCCCCACACATCGTTGATAACCACGTGGCTGCAGCTGCTGCACGTCACAGTCATGTGTTTGTGTTGCCACACTCGAGATGTGTGACCGTGACACGTAGGGGGGGGGGGAATTCATTTGTTTTGTTATCTGTTTCCTTTGCCCCCGGAATGTTCTTTCTGTCAGCTGACCAAACGTACGACTCATCACATGATACAAGATATTTATGGCCAGTAAGGGTCACTTTTAGCACAATAGTTGAATTTTGTTAGAGCAGTTAACGCACGAAAACATCGTTCCCAATCATGTAACCATAAGGAAGATGCCTCGGAACATTTCAATATATACGGTAGACTCTTGATTATCAGCGTGGAATAACCACACACCAGAGATTTTGACAATTAATAACTCGTGGATTTTCCCTTAAGCCTAAATGAATAAGATTAAAACAATTCTAGATTTGAAGCTTTCGTGACTGCAAGGATTCACACTCTGTGGTTTTTTCGGTAAAGTGACGTAGGTAAAATAAAATAAATGAAAACAACTCAATTAAATCACGACGTTTCGGAGGCAACACAAGCTTCCGTCTTCAGGTGGAACAGTCACAGCAAAATATCTGTATCAAGTGAAGAGCTCTGAGACACCCGAGATTATATACAGGTTAAGGGGGGGGGAGGAGCCAGGAAGGAACGTGGGTGGGGGGGGAGGGCTAAGTTAAGCCGCCTTTTGTTATGCTGCAGGGGGTTCGGGGGGAGCGATGGTGCGCTGCACGAGAGCGAGTACAACCCACTGGTAGAAATGGAAACGGCTGTACAATTATAAGGCAGCTAAAGTTTGACTTGGTTGATGACATCTTTCCAATGGTTGCTCAATTAAAAACCATCCTCTCGGTTGAAGTTGTGTCTAGGTTTGCATATCTGGATGGCTTCATGGACAAATCTTTGGTAATAACCAGGAGGTTTGCATGGTACTTTGGTATCGGAGAAAACAATGTCATGAGAACCCGCTGTGTTGAGACAATGATCAACCACGGCCGACGAATTCGTTCTGCCGTGTTTCAAATCTGATTTGTGCTCGCGAATTCGGTCAGAAATATGTTGTTTCGTCTCCCCGATATAGCAGTCACCACAGGTACAACTCAATTTGTAAACACCGGGGTACTGTAAGTCAGGAATGACATCCTTTACGGATGGGATCAGATCACGGATTTTGTGTACTGCATTCAACCGGACCTGGATCTTGTGTTTGTTCAGAATTTTGGAAATCTTTTAGGGAACGCCTGCTATGTATGGCAGTGTTATGATTTTAATCGGAGTATCAGGTGGTTGTTTCTGTATGGTGGGAGAAACAGCTTGGCGGATAGTACGGTCAGAGTATCCGTTCATCTTGAGGGCCAGATGTACTGTACATA